GTCCCTGATCGTTCACTTAGCCGATAACCAAAAGAGAGAGCGGCTTCTGTAGGCTAATTAGGCGAGCTCTAATTTCATTAGCTCCCCGCGTTTATTGGTGGCATGCAGTGTCAAACCGCAGCTCACCCAGAGAAGGTCGGCTCGGGTGGAAGTCTGGCTGTAAGGGAGACTTTGTCGGCCGCCATTGTTGGAACCTGAGATCATCCAACACTTCCTCTGATAGAAACACAGCACTTCTTTTTCTAACTGGTGTCTAACCAAATGGCACATGGTGTGTGTGTGGATTTGTGTGCGTTTCAATACACCCCAAGGTCTGAAAACATACTTGAGAGTGAAAGCAGGAAAGGCGAGACACTGACAGGGAGCATGGGCCCCTGTGACACCAGCGGGTCTCCTCTACTGAGTCCGTCAGCGATCCCTGTCCCTGCTGGATTCTCACGCTGTGAAGTTGGACTGAGTTCTGGGAGCAGAACCCCGGACAGCTCATGAGGTCGGAAACACATCCTGATTCTCCCTGAGCTTTTTCTGTTGCTGCGAAGACGAATAGTTACCCCCCCGTCCTGCTTCTACTGCCCACCCCCACACCCTTTATGTGTCGGGATGAAGGAGAGGCCTGCAGTGAATGGCAGGGCTGTGAGAGCTCGCTCCACTCAGCCCCACAGACCTTCTTTCTCCGTGTGTGATTTGCTCACAACATGCACTGACGAGAACACACTCGAACACCTCGATTCATTTCTGCTATTGGCAGAAGTCCACTGATAAAGGAAAAAAACAACAACCCCATTTTAAAAGAAAATCATATTTTTATTCTGCCTTACAAAAGCATTCATCACACTTAAAAATGTTTCCGGTTTGGTAATATTACAGGGATGAATTTTAAACACGCAGTTTTATTTCATCAATCTCAAAAGTATAAGCACTCTTACACTTAGAGACTTAGACAAACTTTATTGTCGTTTTATATACACAGGGTGCATACAAAATGAAATTTCTTTACATACAGCTTTCCAACAACGAATTAGCAGCACCTCTGAGCTAACTAGCATTTTGCAAGATTTAGAGTTTTTTTTCTTTTCCCTATTTCAGCTTTCATTTGATCTATTCCCATTAACTCTTAAAAGTTAAAGGAATCCACCTTTTTTGGCATTTGCTTAATCACATTTAGTTACTTTAACACAATTGTTTCATGTTAGCAGGGTAGAACATAAAAACAATTTTTTTAAAGTAAATAAATATGATTAAGTAAATGCCAAAAGCGGCTGCATTATTTTTTTCAGTGTTGTTTTACTGTTTGGGTGATTGAGTGTTTGATTTCCCAGCAGAATCTGATGAGACAAAACCAATCTGACCAAAGCACCTTCTTCCAAGTGTTTGATAGGTCTCTTATAATACTGATGTAATCCCTTTTTGCAAGGCAAGGCAGGCGAGGCAAATTTATTTGTATAGCACAATTCAGTACAAAGACAATGCAAAGTGCTTTACATGATTGAAATATAGGAAAATAAAACAGAATCAAAGCAAGGAAAAAAATAATAATAAAATAAAAAATGCAGAAACAAAAAAGAATATTAAAAACAGTTGGACTAAAGAAAAAAAAAAAAAAGTTGAACTAATGAAGTTTCAGTTGAACTGTTTAACTAGAACAGTCGAAGGCAATCCTAAATGGAAAAAAAAAAATCCTAAACTTGCGACTGTCTTTCAGCAGTAACATTCTTCCTGCCACTCTTTCAAAAAAGCCAAATTTCAGTGTGAAAATCGACTAATTGTTCGGTCAGATTATCCTCCCAGCTGAGCTATTGACCTCTGCTTCTCCTCCAGAGTAACTATGGGTATATGGCATGATTCCCTGATTATTGTAACGAGTGCTATGGAATATGTCCAAAGCTTGTAATTTAGCTAGATTTAAAGCCTACTAAGAAATTTACAGTAAAATGAACCAAAACAGTTGCTTACAAACAATTAGTCTGCTCCATTATCAACGTCTTATTCCAGTTCTTCTCTCTACAAACCTAGAGATACAGAGTAGAACTGCTTTGTTGCAGCGTTTAACACGTCTTTACGTCCTGGTTCCTGAGCCAATCTTGCGAGGTTCTTGGGGTTGCCAAAACCGAGTGCAGCCTGCAAACCAGACAAAAGTCTCAGGAGTATCTAAGAACCCCCAACATCCTTCAAAAGGATGGCTTTAATTTAGGGGTATCTGTATAAAAGGGGTCTGATGACAAATGCAAGTCACTTTTTTTTTTTTAAACAATGTTTTATGTAAAAGATTTTATTTTTCTTTCACCTTACCATTAAACTCTTCTCGGTGTTGTTCTGATACCTTTAATTCCCAAATAAGATGCACTAAAGATCAAGGGATAGGAAAGCTTTGTTAATGTACAGCTAAAAGGCTGATTGGCCAAAACCAGAAATAATTTGGACATGTTTTTTAGATTTGGTGTTGAAATAAAATCACTAAATTCAGTATTTCTCAAATGAAATCTCTTTTAGGTTTAAAAAAAATCCCACAACCCCCTTACAGCATGCATAATTGGACATTCCTGGTTAAACTCACAGAACAAAGTACTTCACTCCAAGCAAACATTAGCCTCAATGCTGTTGAGCTGTTTATCCCTCTTGCTGCAGTCAGTGTGACATCATATTAGTTAAATCTACTGTGAGCTTTGCTATTTCCCGGGTATGAAAATGTCAACCACAAGCGTTGCCCCGATAGGTACCAGGTTTGACGTGATTTATCCTACATATGCAACTTCACACCTTGCAGATCAAATAGAAAGAAAAAAAATGTCTCAGAAGTTTTATAAGTTGCAGATGTAATTTTTTTTCTTGCACTGAATACATTAAGAAGAACTCAAAGATCCAGCTCCTCAGCTTCTACCCCAGCGACATGGGTCTCCTCCGCTGGAAACTTGTGATGTTAGCGCAGGCAGCGAGGGAGTTCTGTGGAAACTGTTGCATGCTGATGAGTGTTCACATGCTGGAGAAGGTTGGAGGTCAGGGTTTAAGGGAGGAGTGTGGCATGTATCTGAATCATTTTTATACAATGTTCTCTGAAAATGCTTTAAAAAGAAAGTACAGTCAGCCACATGTATTGGCACTTCTCTGAAAGTTATATAAAAAGCCTTAAAATATATGAATCTTTTACTGGAGCAGCATATTTTAACCCTTGATATTTAAAACATTCTATGATATGTTTTTATCTTTATCAAAAACACTGCTTTAAGTATTTGTATTCTTTCCCTTTTTGCCCACAGGACAGCATTAGCATTCTTTTATAACATAATATAAGGTTGGAAAAAATATCATCATCTTCCATCCAGCCTCCTGGGTCCTCTTAAACTTACCAGCGTTTTTTTTCCAACTCTTTCGCACTGCGGACTGAGACAGTGGGGGAAGAAGGCCCTTTTTGCATCTGGGGAACCACATCTGTAATGATTTGGCCATAGGTTTGGGGTCCTCTTCCTGTTAAAAGGCCCAAAGATGACCCATTTTCACTGTAAGGATCTGGGCTACCTGATGGCTTTAAGACATCCTGCAATTTCAAATAGTTCACGATGATATGACTTTAAATTTAAACCTGAATTTAATCAATCTTTTTTTTTTAAATAAATGTAATTATTAACTTTTCTTTCTCCTGTTTATCTACTGCATTATACTATTTTCTGTGTGTGTTTAATAAATAATAAATAAATAAATGAAAATACAAAAATTATCTCTTAAGAAGAGAAAAGGTCCCACAGCATGACGGATCCTCCAGTATACTTAAGATTCAAACTTTGCTTCATCCTATCTGGAGTATTTGTTTTTGAAAAAGCTACATTTTCAGTCATATACGTATAACTAAAGCAGAGGGTTCCAGTTAAAGTCCCATTAGAGTTCAATAAACTTTATGTTTACCTCTGTGATGTTTGTTGACTTTTGTTTTTTTCTGAGATTCCTTCTAAATACCCAGCTGTCATATAGATAGTAGGGTTGTCACGATACTAAACTTTTCAACTCGATACCAATACTGAGTAAAATATTCGATACTCGATACCCTTTTCGATACCACAAGGATAAAAACAAAGACTCTAAAATTCAACAGAAATATTTTCATTACTAAAAAAATACAAGAAATAAATAAAAAAACAATAAGAATAATATTTTGAGGTTGTATGCTGTGCACAATATTAAGCAAGCTTGATAAAAAAAAATTACAAAATTAAAATTAAGTGTTCCTTCCTTGGCTATGTTTTGCAGACATAACAATGACACTAGCCAAACCAGGTAAACAAAAATAATTCTCAGCAGCTGCATTTCTTACAAAAAAAGTCTGAAACTGAAAAATGCGCAGAATTATTCAATCACACAGTGTTCAGAAAGTGCATTTTCCACTATTCTGCACTTTAGATGGCTGTATCGATACTTTTGAAAATGAGTATTTTATCCGGATACAACGTTTCAGTTTTGATACTTTTTTGAGTATCGATACTTTTGACAACCCTAATAGATAGCACCTAATACTTGTTATGAATTCTTCCTCCTCTGCACACCTGACTTTGTGGCTGCAACAACACTGGAGAAACTGATCTGTATTAAGTAAAAAAAATTTTAAATAGCATATTTGCTCCTAATATCAGCAGGTAAATAAGATCTGCCAATTAAATTAGTAATTTTGCCCTTAAAATGTGATAATTTTATTTTTTAAATTTTATTCCTTGGGTAAGATTTTCTTACCTACTTAAATCAAACAAATTTTGAGAAAAAAATTATGAACTTATATTTTAATTTCTGCAGGGAAAATATTTTATTTGACGGATGTGAAAATGTGACATATTAAAATAAAATAAAAAAAATAAAAGTTAAGTAGAACAATGGGGGGATTTTCACTGATTAGTACGCAGGTTTAATATTTCAGTGACTCATGTATCTAATCTAGTAAAGGTTTTTCTTTTTCTATTGGTTAGCATTTACTGATCTTTCATAAAAGTAATTTAGCTTCTGATTTTCTTCTCCACCAGCTGTTCAAGTCCACGTTCTTAAAGGAGACAAGGCAGGCGAGTGGTGGAAGTTCACCGTCAACATCATCTCTGTCTACAAACAAGGGGGACACCGCATTCGCCGTGGCGACCAGCTGCTATGGGTGCGCGCCAAGGACGTGGCCTGCAAGTGTCCCAAGATCAAACCCGGCCGGAAGTACCTGCTCCTGGGCAGTGACGACGACTCCCCAGGACAGAGCGGTGTAGTTGCCGACAAAGGAAGCCTGCTCATCCCGTGGAAAGACCTGTGGGGCCGGCGGCTGAGGAAGTTCCAACAGCGCGGGAAGAGGGGAAAGTGCTAAGAATGGGTCGTGTGTGAGAAGAGGAGGGAAATCGGTGCATGGGGCAGCAGATTGCTGATGCCTCTGCTGGGATTACATGTAGGAGAGAGGAGGGGGTCGATAATAGATGGACTTAAATAGCTATAAATAAAAAGGGACAAAAGTGAAGAGTAGGAGAAAAAAGGAGATGACCGAGTGCTACTGCTCTGGGCTGGAGTTAAAGAGAATAATGTTTTTAGGAACTTTTGTGAAGGAGCTCGTTCTACAGTTGTTTCTGTTTCTGTTTGTTGTCTCTGAGGTGTGTTATGTTGTGTATTTGCAGAGTTTGCACCTAATTCTAAAGACACGACTCATGCAAAACCTTTTAGCCCATGATGTTGCTGTATAATAAAGCACCCCGGCTCAGCTGCAAAGCTTCTTTTCCTGGTTCTGCAAGAAACTGTTCGCAGCTACAACACAGCATCCCAGGACTTTACCCAAACCCATCCAAAAACGATTGTTCCTTCAAATCCGCCAAACTTTGTTGACTTTTACTAACAACTCAGACCTCTTCTAAGCTGCCATTTCAGAGTGCCATATTTCCCAGGAACTTCCTGATCACCTGTTACCTCATAAGCTTCTGGGAACTAAACACTTTCCTTTCCCTTTTCCCTTCAAGTCTCTGCTCATCTCTTTCCTATAATTCAGGTGCATCTCAATATATGGATGTTTCATCAAACATTTTTTCCATTTATTTGAGAATGAAATATTGAGGTGTTCATTTTATTATCATAATTTACAACCAAATAAACTCAAAATTCAGTTCCTCAGAAAAGCAGAAGATCACATAAGCCCAATAATATAACATTTTTGGTTCACAAATGTTGACCTACTAAGTAATCTGTCCTTGTAATATAATGTTTGATATATCAACCCAACGCTTACAGGGGCTGATTTTAAATTCTTTATCAATATAGCATAAAATAGAGCGAATAAGTTTATACTTCTGCAAAGATATTAAGTATGGCCCACTAATCCTCTAGACTCTAGGACCTCATTTTCTGATTAAATTAAAGCTTCCATCTGAACAGAGATGAAAAACTTTCAGTTACTGACCAACAGCCCATTTGAACCAACAGCCTTTAGTTTTTATATTGATTACAGGAATGGCCTTAGGCAGAAACATATAAGACTGAAAAGATTAATCAGATTGATAAATTATTAAATTAGTTGTGAAATTCGGTATTTGAATCGAATGGCATGTTTTAGAGTTGGTGTACTAATAAAACAACCACTCTAAAACATCCATTTGCTAAAAGAATTATCGTCTTACGGGGGTGATTAAGACATAATTAGAAAACATAGAGATATTTCCATTTAATATAAAAAAATCCTAAATGTGTCCACACATGTATACTGTATTTACTTCGACTTTTTTTTTTTACATTTTTGCCATTTACAATTCATTTAAAATATGCACTAAAGGTTTTTTGTATTTTTAAAAATGTTAATTTACACAAAGTATATATTTTTTAGTTAATGGATTATTAAAAATTGAATTATCGAAATAATCGGTAGGTGGAAACCTAGAAAGCTGTGGCAGCTTTATTAGGATACATCTGTGTGTGGTTGGTTGCTAAAGTTTTGATGTCAGACACAGTGCACAACTTTTGAATCCCCCCCCCATCGGCCCTCGAAGTTTGGTGAAGGCTGCTGTTATTTCTGTAGCTTGCGCTTCATTTTATACCACATTTTTTCCTTCCACTTAACTTTCCAGCAAAGTTCTTGGAGACAGACATTTCTTAAACACCACCCTCTTCAGCTCTAATCCTTTGAGACTGTCTCTGCTAACCTGCTGCCCAAGTAGGAGTTCCTATGATTCCTTCCTATAATAATTAAAGCCAGAAAAGACGGTTCATCTTGTGTAATGTTCTAATCTTCTGGGAAACTGAAATCACTTAATTCATTGTGTTCCAAATTGAAATCTACAAGCAAGTTTCACATTTTGAAAGGAAAGTAAAGTACCTTTTTCATAACATTCAGATTTATTGCGATGCACCTGCATGATAAGTTATGGTTGTGACCTCTGCAATGTAAAGTAACAATGTGTGAATAAGTCTTTGTTTTATTTTTATTCGGTTGGGTAGAAGATGCTGATTTATTACATAGATATAGAGTAGATGTGTCAACGATGCACTTATGTTATTTACTAGTCCGATATATACGAACATATTAGATATGTTCAGGTTTTAAAGGGTGGCATCCGAAAGGAGGAAACTCCCAAATTCCTGTTAAAGACACACATTAGTTGTATAGCTATAGCTCAAAACCTGCCTGCCTCACAGACGAACTGATGTTTCATGCCAGCTACAGAAGAATCTAATGAGGACTAAACTTTTACATCTATAAGTCCTGTGAGCGAGCCCTCTCACCGCCTGCATGCCACATGCTCACCACTTACTGTAGCTGATGGAATGATGATGATTGTGAAATTATGCACACTTGTTTTAAAATATTCAGTGTTGAAAAGAAAGAAGAAAAAAAACCCTGTGGAGTGATAAGATGTCACAGATGTTTATTGTGCGAGTGCGTTGGGCACGATGTGTCAAATTTTCCTCACCTCAAAGTGTCTTTTTGAGGAAGAGATTCTCTTATCTGTACTTGGTACTCGACATAAAGGCATGACTGATTGTCTGTATGTGAAATAGCTGTATAGTATTACTTTTCTTTCGTATTGTTAAACCATTAACCAGTTATACTGCGTCTACGTGTAAACCTAACCCTCGTTTTTCATTGTTAGAAGCTAAATGTGTGGAAAAAAATGAATGTTCACCAGCATACATGTACCCTGGAGATCAAGCATTAATGCATAACCCCAGGGGTTCACCTCAGTACTCTGTGCATCAAGCTGTTTGTGTTCGATTAAAATCTGCTTACAAAGACTCTGTGAGCGGGACTGGACTGAAACATTTCCACTTGTTTTTCAAGCTTTGTCACAGAGAGGTACTTTCCCACCAGACGTATGTTCTCCATAAACAAACCCCTACAATTTTCTCCTCTTGTTTATATTCTGGCTTGTAAATGTTGTTAGGAGTGTCCAATGCAAATGGTTGTGTAATGTCTTGTTATACTAATATATTACATTTATCATAAATGAATATATTTAATGACACATGAAATAATGTGGCTTTTTGTCTGTTTGTTAATGACTTTCAATATTTTTTCCCTTTTCTTCCAGATTTTAGCTTTTTATAGTAAAAACATGTTTATATGTTTTTGGATCTTGAGGAGAAAAAAGGCTAATCACCACTAAATTCTATAGCCTAAGCGCTTATTTAAGCACAGAAAATAATTGTATCTATTTAAAACTAAGAGCATGTACACATTTCAATCCAGCTTTTACAAATATCTGTTAAAAATAATTTTGCTTTTATAAGTCTCTGCTTTCTAAAGGCAAAAACACA